CACATTATTTCAGAGATCATTCCTACCTTCAATAAAAGAAGCCTCCTTACTGCAGACCAAACACGTTGCTGCCACCACACATGCAGCTAGCTGAACAGGGATGCCCAAATGTGGCCGCGCACTCCTAAAAATGTTGAGGCTCCGTTTGACCTTAGCCGTTGTCACAAAATAGGGACCTATCAAATGGCACCACAAAGTTCTTGAAAAAGGAATGCCAGTGCTCATAATCTAGAAATTCCAGGTGTTAAACATAAAGGGATGGCATTCCCACAGCTGTGTCCCTGCTCTGCAATGGAAACTCTTTCAGAGGGCCTGCAAACATCCCTTTGCAAGACACAATGAAGCAGGGAATGCTACGCAACCTTTTTCCGAGGCCTTACGGCAAACTGCGAAAAGCTGGCATATCTTAAGTCCAGTAAAGCCGGGGGAAAACAGCGGGTGAAACCAAATGCCGGGATCCAGCGAAGACACTCAAACGAGCGCTAACAAGACAGACCCATATGTGCGCCACAGTAGATTGATGGTAAATGTTCTTAAACTTGAATGCCAGTACTAGTAGCAGCAAGGACCTGTTACATGATATTTGCGTGGTGGGGGGGGGGGGGGGGGGGGGGGATTTCTGTCAGGCAAACATTCAACATACATTGTTTGCTCCCATTACAAAAATATGGTTTGTTGATGACTGGCATAGACGTCGGCGGCATGCGTGTTGATGCATGTGCGAGTTTGCTGCTGGATGGTGATCCTGAAAGCACTACAAAAGCCGCTAACTAAGAATCTGTGTAATGTCATCGAGAAGCGTTTATCAAATTTTTGCCTAGTGGCACTCAGCTTCAACCCAGAGCTGATCCAATGACGAATTTCCTTTTTTTTAATGGACATGCGGCAGATGAAACAGAATTCCGTTGAGTACATCATAATTAAAACAATCCCACCTCTAGCGATAAACCGTCATTAATAACAAACCAGCTTTCGGTCTTCAATAAGGTATTTTAACATGAATTTGCAGATACCAAAGACGACGTCAGGCATAACCAACAAATGACTAGTGTCAGTTAGCGCTCTAAACTTGCTACATTCATTGCATTATTTTCTTTGTCTGCACAAGCACTCTGCAGCCAGCCTGCAACTCAGACTTCATGAGCTCAAAAGTTCCAGGGGTGTAGGCGTATGGAAATGTGGCAGCTGCCCAATGCGAGATACAATACTGCAGAAGCTCCAGGTCATAAAGAAGCAACACACCAAACCATGAGCTCTGCAACCAGGATTGAACGAGCCACGTGCGAGCAAACAACAGCAGGAACGACCAGTACCATAAAAGCTGCGTATGCCCATAAAAGTGCAGAAAAACATGTACCTGAGGGAGAATGCAATGCACACGCATCACTCCTGTGCAGCGAAAACCCATACGCTGTAAACCTTGGAAGGGAAAAAAATAGTGGGCACCTAATGTAACACTACTTCTAACACAGGAAGGAAACTTGGCTCAAAATTATATTCACAAAAATTTTCAAGAGCCATCAACAGTCAACCGATTGATTTGTGCCAAGACCGTCCCGAACCCCAGATGCCAACAGCTGCTAGTCTCCATCAACTGCTGCTCATCTGGGAAAGCGGGAGATTTGCAGAAATCACCTTTTCAATATTTACTCAAGGTCTGACGAAACACGGCTAAAGAAAAGCTGGTAGAGCTGTTGAGTTTGATCCATCTCACATGTAGGGGAACAAGTTTGTAATAACCTAAGTCTCTCAAGCACGCACCTTCTGAAATAAACAGAAACAAACCCACTTTAACCAACCAAAAATGTGGAGCTTCAACTTTGGATCCGGCTCTTTCAACGCATGGACGAAACACCCCACCCTACAAATCACAAGGAGTGAGGACATCGAAAGACACCGGCCCAGCCAAAATAACATCCGCTCCGAGAAGTGGCATAGCCGTGGGAACGCCTTGTTCAAGTCAGCGTCAAGCAAACAAAAAAATTAGCCAACATGATAAAGACATCCACACTTTTCAGCTGCTATTACGAATGCAAAACTCGGTGTCCAAGCTGGCTGGCTGCCACTGCGACGCATTGCAAAAGGCATGTAGGAGTAACCGCAATGCGATTCGAGGAAAGCTAGCGTCGAGTCCCAACGTAATTAGATGCACCCATAGCGCCTACCAGTCACTCAGCCGAGGATGCAATCACTGTGCCACCCAAAATTAGTCACAGCCGTCTGAAGGCAGACGCAAAGAATACATTTGTCGCTGGAGACGTTATACAAATCTTGACTTTAAGCCAGACACGCTGAGACAAGTGTCTCTGTCGGCTGCCAAAAGACACGTCCACTCGGCATCTGCATTCCTGAAGACTAACACAGTCAACTTAACCCAAGTCGGCAATCAGTAAAATATCCTGGCGGTGGTAGGAGACCTAAAGTAATCGAGAAGGCAACTCAGTGAAGAACAATCTAGGCGTATTCTAGGGCTGTTTGGAGGAAAACAAGCAGAGGCCGGCATAAACACAAAACTGCTCATTGATATATGAAGCATAACCTCTGCTTATGTCGAGCTAGAGCTTGGTGTACAAAGGCTTTATTTGGGTTTACTTTTGCAAAAGCAATAGAGGTCATGATGCAGCAGGTGAGGTTCTCTAACCTCGCAGGCCTAATGTGAAATGAAGGAGCATGCAGCACACAATTTCCAAAGAAATTCTCGCAGAGCACTGACACTCCCGGTATCCGATTGCTTGTACATAGTATGAATGTGCGCCGCAACGACCTTAATCATGTTACAGGTCAATCTCAGGTTAGTGAAACCCAAAAATACTGTACTATCCTACCGCAGACCTTGAGTGTGTTCTCTGTGAACATAGCTTCTAATGACTGATTTCACCCTTAATAACACAGGTCACAGTTTATATTAATTTGTTACAGATGTATGTGAATGTTTTTTAGTAGCTACATTGTGAGTATTGCTGACAATTTTCGTTTTTATTACTGTTGTGTTTGTTGTGGGGTACACCTCCAAGGCTTATGAAGGTCTCTCAAGGTGTACCAAGTAAATAAATAAGTACAACTTTCCTGCTCGCTTGCTAGTTCATTCTTCTTTGTCGGAATGCTTGTACCCTCAGCTTGTTTCGTGCATACCTGATCCGTGGTTCAATTTCATGCTTCCGTTCATCGACCGACCTTTGCATCAATTGTCATAATTTCTCTTAATTAGCATTTTGTAGCAACTCACTGGCTCTGTATATACGAGTCTGGATGCCCATCAAGAAAGCAGTCATTGCATTGAAGCAAACCAAAATGTAAGGTGGCTCAGAAAGTGTTTGCCTAAAAACCACATGGATCTTCGGCATGCTGCCATGGCATGAAAACTACCACTGACAAATCACATTTGTATGTAGGTATAAGGGCACAATTTTCAAATGTCCCTTATACCTACATAACCCTGTCTATCGAATTCGGAGAGCTGCTCACAGCTTACAGAATTTGAGCAAGCTCTGCACTGGCTACATGGTGGTGGCACATAGGCGCCGGTAGTTTTAAACTGATCACACAATAAGCTTGGCCATTCCAGCAATGTTTATCCCATGAACGGATCTCTTCTTAGTGCAGCAACAAGTTCATCATTCCAGCATCAGTATGGTTACGTCACAAAAGGTGGGTGGCCAAGCATGGACTGCCATCGTGCGTCATCAAGAACTACCACGACGGCAGAGACGGTCAGTGGAGTTCAATACAAAGCATCCCTGCAGCGTTAAACATATAGACACAAGGACACTTGTGAAACACTGGAATATATTGTGGAGATTTTATTTCAGTAAGTTCATGAGAACCAACTGGAAGGTTTAAAAGTAAATCAGCAAATTATCTTGCTAAAAGGGACAGTGAAACTCCAGCTTACAAATATTGATCGCTGAAAGCTTTCCCAAAAAACAATGCGAGATAAGCGTGCTACTTTTTATTCGTTTCCCGTTCAATCCACATCCTGCTGCCGAGTTCGCTGCAGCAAAGAAAACAACGAAAAGCCATAAATTACTCTCAGCAGACGAGGCAGTTGCCGCACGAAGCATCTTGACTGGAGCGCGATATCGTCCAGACTCTGTGGGTAGGGCGCAGCACACTGAGGGTTGCTTCATGTGCAACGTGAGCTTTTTCCAGATGAAAGGGGAAGCTCCATCTACCAAAACTCGCATCGGAACGAAAAAAAAAACAAAAAAAAAAACAGCCATTTGCGCTATAAACACAAAAATAATAAAGAAAGAAAAAAAAACTTGCCGCGTAGTCGAGGTAAGACGATGCCGCGGTGACCTCCAATCGCTTCCGTGGGAAACGACAACAGCAATGTTACGCCAAAGGCACAGCGAGATAACGAAGCTGCCGAGAGAAAGTCCGGATTCTCGAGCCTTCGATAAACGTAACCTTAGTTGCACGACGTAAACAGCATCGGTCCCTCGTTGAACGAGAATTTAACCATCGAATTTTCGTCCCATATAGCGGGACTCATTAGCGAGATAGAGAGAGGGAAAGAGAAAACAAAAGTTAGCAGGAGCTTGTACAAAGCGCAGCTTTTCTCTCTTCATAAATCTACGTGGAATCAAAACAAACCACTAGAAGAGCGGTAGTCGGAAAAATCAGTCGCGCTAGTTGCGGAACGAAGTAGCGATATCGCACGTCCAATGTGCACGCAAAACACGTACTACTAGAAAAAATATTAAAAGGCCGGAGAAGGAGGGAGGGGAACACTACAAACAAAGGAGGAGGAGAGGATATTCCGCAGGTCTGTCAAGTCTCGCCGATCTGGTACGCCATTTTACGACTGCGCAGTAGCTCAACAACAAAAGGCCGGTCGGCAAAAACCGTCGACTAGGACACACAACGGCCTGTTCAATGCCGTCGTATCGTGCAGACCTGACTTTAGCAACGAAGACGGGACCGCTACGAGCTGCATCGTCGACGCCGCTCGAAGCCGGGTACCGGCGCCGAAGAAAAACCGGTTAGGCCTAGCTCACCTTTGGATCCCGGTGAGAGTGCCTTGGTTTCGGGCGATATCCTTTGATCGGGGGACTGTCTGCTTTTGAGTTTCACACCGTCGTGCGGCCAGCACACGATGGTCGGCGACTGCGACGCTTGCTGGGCGCAGCTGCGCTGCGTTGGACTGGTCTGCCGGAGCAGCGCGGCGCGGATCGGCTGCTGCGACTGTTTGTTGTTGGCGGCGGCGGCGACGGTGCCAACAGCGGCCACGGCACACGGTGACAGGTTCAGGCGGATTCGTTGCGGGGGAATGCCCGACGACATTGTGCCGGTCGCGTGTTCCCTGCCTGGCCCCCGGAAGAGGAACGAACAACGTTCACTCGCCGCCGCGAGACGCGTCCGAGTTCGTCCCCCCCAGCAGCGATCGCGCGCGTGCACACAACCAAGGTTTACCGAACCAACCGAGTCCCCAACACACGCGACGAAAACAATAAAGAAGCACCGAAAAAATACGGAAAGAAAAAAAACGTAAACGTACTCAAAAAACGTCAGACGGCAGAGAAATCCCGACCGTACACCACCGCTGACGACTGCCGTCCGTCTGTCAAAAAAATAATTCTCGCTCCCGGCGGCGGCGGCATGCGTGCACGCTGCCAACGAGGGCAGATCACGTGACTGCTACGGCGGTTTCCCATTGGTCATTCACGCGCGCGGTTTATCAATGAAGGGGTGGGGCTTGGCTCGGCTACGCCAGATCGGCTTCTCCGGCGTCTGCTCTCGTCGTACTACCGGTACTATCGCCAGCCCTTGTAGAGACCGCTGGAACCCTCTTCCGAGCGCGCTACAATGCGCTTGCACCGATTTTTTTCTACGTGCCTTCCTTCTTTTTCTTGCATTTGATTTCCGTTCGTTTTTTGGCCATGGTTTGTTGGCGGGAAGCGTTGCGTGGGGCCATTTCCCGCTTCGCACGGTCGCGCTGAGCGCGGGAAACGAAACAAAGGGGGCAGTGTAGCAGACGACTTCGCACTTGAGCGCGCCACGAGTAGTGTGGCGGCGAACTCGATGGTTGGCCAAACCGCTGCCGACGGCCGAAAGATTCTCCTAAATTGGCAGTCTTGACCCGAGGTGTTGCTGTTGTTTGCGTTGTTCGGCGAAAGCGACTCTGCGTTGACGTTTCCGCAATAAAACAAACATCGCCGCTGGCCTCCATGGAAGTAAAAACGAAATTGAAAAAAAAAGAAATTGCTCGGATTGCTTTATTATTATTATTTTGATTAGTAGAGTGCTATAATTATTACTCCGAAGAACTTGATGTTTTTAACTCGTGTCGCCAGAACTTTGATAAACAGGTGTGGCACAGCTGTTCGAGTCGTGGACAGAGATAGGCAGAACGAATTATGGGAACTTAAAGCCTAAAAATGTACTACCTGCGCAGTTTGTTTCTCTTTTTTACCCCGATATGAAGTATTTTTACTCTGTTTTTCTGTAGAAATTAAAAGCTATATCTTGCTGTTGTTGTGTTTTCTGTCCTTGAAGACTACTAATGTCTAGGACGTTTTGTGCTATCTTGTAATACACTACTGTCAAGGTACGATCGCCAATCACCCCCTCTTGCTCATGCCCCGCACTACTGATTGTGTTTCTTCTCGATGTGCAACGGGGTGTTTGCATATATGGGTGGTCACTGCATTCGTGTTGTTTGTGTTTAAGTGTCGTCAGTTTTGTGTTTATTTTGTTGTGTGTGTAAGTATATGCGTGCCAGCGCCAAGACCGTATGGTTGTTCCTGGGCACCAAATAAAATTGATTCTTTATAATTATTATTATTATTATTATTATTATTTGTGTGCCTCAAAAGCAAACAAACAAATTTAGCCTTTTTTATTATTTTTTTTTTTTTTTGGGGGGGGGGGGGGGGGGGGGGACAATTCGAGAGACTTTTGATTCGCTCCAAGTACAGAAAAAAAAAACATAACAAGGCTTCTTTTTTCTTTTTCGTGTACCTTGTGTGCACAGTCGAGAATTCAGACCCCTGAAATGAGCTAACCACACGAGATATAATCAGTTATGCAAAAGCTATAAAAAAGCAATCAGTGTAAAAACTAAAAAAAAAAAAAAAAAAAAAATTAGAAGGACAAAAAGAAAGTTAGCGTTTTGCGATTATTCGAATTTTCGAAGTATAGTTTCGAATAATAGGCTCTTCAATATTCGCTTCGAAATGAACTGCGACATTCGTACATATCGAAGCGTTGATAGCGGACCGTTCGCCCCGTTGAGTGCGCTTCTCACCGGCATCATGTGCACTGCGGGAAAGCAATGCGGAGCGCAAGTTCGTCTGCTTCTTGCGCACGGGTGCCGGTGACGTCAGAACGACGCTGAGTTCTGATTGTCTTTCACTAGAAGAATAGTGGGTGTATAGACGCTTTACACAGGCGCCAAATTACAGCCGCCATTGCCATTGCTGACCTTCTCTGGTCTTTCCCAGGTGCCAAGCCACTAAAGCGGGCGTTGATGAGCCTCCAGAAAGGCCAGTGCTGTGGACGAGGACACAGCAGCACCTAAAATGGCAATCACCTGCCCTGCTGGGCTTATGACGAAGCGAAGTAAATGTAATAAGAGGAAACAAAACTGCAGGTCGGTTATGGCGGCGCCCGTGCACAGCTGCTGCAAGGCGTCTATACCTCTATCCTCTGTGCTTTGAGGTCTACCCTCTATTTTTTTTTTTTTGAGCAGCCAATCAGAGCTCGGCGTTTTGACATCATCGCAAACCCTGGGCAAGAAGCAGACGAACTTGCGCTCCGCATACCCACGAAGCCCGCGGGCTCCGCGGTTACTGCTTCCCCGCGGTGCACAGGTGCTTGGCGACAAGCGCACTCAACGGGGCTAACTCACCGCGGTTATGCAAGAACATTGCTTAGGCAGCGATATCTTGACAACCCGTGCCCAACATTCGTGCTTGTTCTTTTTTTTTTTTTTTTCTTGCTTGTTTTAAGTTTGAAGAAAGAATATTTGCTTATAGCAGGCCGATTTATCAATCCCCTCGATTAGTATAGCTGTGACAATTTTGTCGTAAACATGTCACAGTTCACAAATATAGTTACACTAAGATTGACTGACCTTAGGAGTGAACAAGTGGAGGGTTGGGAACAGCCTGCACGAGTTAGCTCAATTTTCGTTTAAGCATGGCGCGCGGTCGCGAAAGGCTCGGAGAAGCTATTCGATTTTCGATCCGAAAACATTCGGCCAAAAGCAGTATTCGCTTCGAATTCGCTTGGAACTCAACATCCACTACTCGCACAATGGCTAATATGCACGGAGTACAAATCGCCTAAACAAACCAGATACGCCCAGCGACGGGGATGAAAAGACGTAACAAACGAAGTTGTAATTAATTTTCCTCTCGAATGACGCACAACCGCCGAGTGGTTACGGGTGGTCGATAACGACGTCCAAAGTTCGCCTCCCACGACGTTGGCAGCGTTGCGCGGAACTACAGCTTTCCATTCATCTTAGAATAACCGAGATGGCAAACTAAGCGAACCGTACACCAACGCCACCTACAACAATCAAAGCCCGCGTACTGGCATTCCGATGCCATCGCAGTAAGTTCGAGCATACGCGGAGTATAAGTTCGTCTGCTTCTTTTTGCAGGGGTAGGTAGTGACGTCAGAGAGACGCCGAGCTCGGCGTCTTTGTGACGTCACCACCTACCCGTGCAAAAAGAAGCAGACGAACTTGCGCTCGGTATAGTCGCGGTTTGAGCAAGAGTGCTGCGTCAAGCGTTCGGCTGAGCCTGGGCGAAGGACGCTCGGGGTCGGCGAAATCGAAATTTTGAAATTATTTATTTGATATTAAGAGGCTTAAGTCGATTTTAGTTTGATGACGCTACACGGAAGTAGCTAGGAAACTGTGCAAATAGCTTTCATTATTCTATAAACCAACACGCAGTTTAGGAGCAACTGAGCGTTTGCCCAAACTAGGTGAGAAGGAGGGGGGGGGGGGGGGGGGGCTGCGCATGCGCAGAGACCAGATTCGCGAGGAGTTAAGTCTGTGCGCACGCGCCATATCGACAACAGCGCCAGCGCAGCGGCGTGAGTCCCCGAGCATCTCAATATCAGGCCGCAGCCAACGACATGGCTGCGTTACCCGATAACAGGGCACGAGGACCAATCACGAGGCGTCAACCTGATAAACCGAGTCCCGCATATTGTTTTAAGCAGTGCCAGTGATTATAGATTACATTGATCGAACACGTATCAAATATCGCGTTAAATCATGGGAAAAAAAAAAGACGCAAGAAAGAAGGAATAAAACACGAAAACACGGCCCGGCCTGATTCGACCACTGCGCAACATTCCGCCCTTGATGGCATATCCGTTTTAAACGTGAGCGCGGCGACGATTCCTCGTCCTCCCTTGTTTAAACCAATCCTGTTCAATTCTGGAGAATAAGCAAACTAGAAACACGGTGTAGAGCATTCCCTACGTCCCTACGTCGACTCCATCTTTTTCTTTTCTTTCTTTTTATATATATATATATATATATATATATAGCGATCTTAAAGGTCGTATACTGCCACGGGTACAGAGTGCACCAATCCGCCCACCCTCAGGTCCCCCATTCGATTCGCGTCACCTCACCTAATAAAATAGTAAGACGCCTTTTCTGAAGAAAAAAAAAATCGATTGCCTCGTCGCGATCTTTTTCTTTAGGCGTTGTTTTCTTTTCTTTTTGTATTTTTTTCTTAGTCTCTTTTTTTTTTTTTTTCCCTGAAATACGAAGCAACCGAGGCGCTCTCTGTTTTGGTTTGTTGCTTCCATGTTTCCTTTTGTTCTCAGAAGCCCACACATCTCGCTTTTTCCCCCTCGTTCCAAGGAGCAAGAGCGCTGCGCCGGAAAGCATGTGTGTGTAACGCGAGCCCTCACTGTTAGAGGAGACCTTTCATTTGCTTGTCTGTGTGTGTCCGCCTTTTTTTTCTTTTCCGGGGGCGGCGCAAATCCGAAATTAATTAGCCCACTCCCTTCTCTCGCTTAATGCATCCTCTTTCCTTCATCGTCACTTCACATCTCTCGATCTCCTTCTACATTAGATTTTATTTTCTCCCCGATGAAGGATTTTTCTTTTTTGTTTCTTGAAATTATAACACGCAAGATATTACAACGTCTGCCTTTCTACATAAAAAAAGAAAATTCTAAATTTTTCGGGGGTTACACGAGGGCGTCCGTTGCTACTGAAGTAGCGAAGGATTATGAAAATCATTTTTGCTTAATCGTAGTTTTTCTGCGCTGCTTAATTATTTTATACCAACTAGACGAGTGTTTGCGTAATCGTATGATAGACTATTTTACGCAACACAAGGTTTTTATATGCTGGCGAAGGAACAATTGCTATATTCAGAAGGCCTGTTACAACAGTAACGGAATTATCATAGTTTCAAATCCCCCCCCCCCCCCCCTATTCAGTACAAAGTAATAATCAACAGAAACAACTGCATCATGGTGAAACCCGAGGTTATACGCACATACGCACAAATTAAAGGCTACATAGGAAATCGTTGAGCAGAGTAGTCAAAGGTAATTAGAGTAGGACCGGTGTTGTAACTCTCACAATGTCGTTCACAAACTCGCCATATGTTGACGTATGA